TATATATATGTTTTGAGCGCAAGGTAAGCAGCTATCTGCGCAGATGGCTGGGCTTGCCATGCAGCCTGAGCAGCATCGGGCTGTATGGAAACACCAACAAGCTCAGGAAATTGAGGGCAGGGGAGGCAGTCCAGCAGGCAGAAGCTCGGCTGGAGCACAAGACCCTCCTTGGGAATGTGGCACAGGGCAGAGCCAGGCTTGGGAGTTCGAAATAAACCCGATACGACACTGCCAGCCGGAAGGAAAAGCGGAAGCTTCAGGAGGAGGTGCGCTCTTCAGTAGAGGAAGAACAAGTGACAAGGGCAGTGGCGATGTGACAACAGGGTGCTTGGCTGAAGTGGGAATGGAGCGGAATGTCACCTGGCAGGACATCTGGAAGTGGAACCCCCAGAGGATCAAGTTCTTGATCCAGGGGGTCTACAAAGTCCTCCACAGCCCATCTAACCTGTACAGATGGGGCAAAGTAGAGACACCAGCATGCCCGCTTTGTTCCAAGAAAGGGACCCTCGAGCACATCCTGAGTAGCTGCTCCAGGGCACTGAGCGAGGGGCACTATCGTTGGAGACACGATCAGGTCCTCAAGTCCATTCGCTGAGGCAATCAGCAAGGGGATCAGCAACAGCAGATACAACCACACTACAGCCAGGAAGATTGAGTTTGTCAAGGAAGGAGAACAGTCGAAGAGCAGACCCAGGACCTGCTCTGCTGGTCAGCTTTCCATGGCACGAGACTGGGTGATAACAGTTGACCTTGAGAGGCAGCTGAAAATCCCATCTCACATCACCCAGACCTCGTTGAGACCAGACATCACCTTGGTCTCAGAGGCCACAAGACAGCTCCTCCTACTGGAACTGACTGTGCACTGGGAAGAGAGGATGGAGGAGGCACAAGAGAGCAAGAGAGCGAAGTACCAGGAGTTGGTAGAGGACTGCCGCAGAAACAGGTGGAGGACCACCTGCATGCCAGTGGAGGTGGGCATTTGGGGGTTTGCAAGTCAATCCCTCAGCAAGGCCTATGGAACCCTGGGCATTATGGGCCAAAGAAGGAGAAGAGCAATCAACAACGTGGAGGCAGTAGAGAAGGCATCTAGATGGCTTTGGCTGAAAAGGAGTGACCAGTGGGGTCAGTAGTACAGCATGCCACTTGGACACAGGCCAAGCCTTGATCAACCTCTGTCGGGTCGCCTGGAGGAGGGTGTCTGTTGCAACACTGATGACGTGTCCAAGTATGAGAATCAGAAGATGTATGAAGAGCTAAGTTATTTTTATTTACTGTTATCTATAATTTTTCCTGTGGACATATACTTGCTGCAGCTTCCTCTGTACCTCCTGGGTTTCCGTAGATTCTTCTGTCTGCCGCTCACAGTACCAGTACAGTGCCACTCATACTACAACAAGCTGCCTATAGTCATGTGATCAACACGGCATTGCAGTTTGTAACATCCACTTTCTGGTGTCAAATGGTGTTGTTCTGTATGTTTAGTAGCAAAGGTACAGGAGTGGTGTTCAGAGGGCAATTAATGTGCCATACTATCTAGGCCTGGGACGATTAGCGATCAAATTGAATATTGCCGATTGGAGGGTTGCCAGGCAATTTGCTGGATATCAAGGCAATTTTGGAAAAAAAACAACAAAAAAACGGCACTCTACCGTGCATTACGAGATGTTTTTTGGGGAAATACATGACTGTCAGAGAAGCCCCATTTACAAACAGACCTACAATCCATCTCCTCTCCTCTCTTCTCTCTTCTCAGCGGAAGGTGCCCTGTCAGCCCTGCACTGACAGTGACAGGGCACATCTCTTTGATCCAAAGTGACACAGCCCGTTTGCTCATGCTTCGGGGTCGTTCAATAGAGTAATTGCAAATAAATATTGATTTAATGTGTAACTATTGAAAAGTTCACAAGGGCATAAATTCCTACAATGTTGTGGCACTGCCGCCTTTGCAGGTTAAAAGTTAATGACAGCGACTTGAAGTGAGGAGGAGCAACACATCTCTGGCTGCGGAGCTGTGTCGGTACTGACGCCGCTGTGCTGACAAGCCGGAGACACTCACTTTTGCGTTTGATGCAAAATATTAAAATAACGTCATCATAACACAAAAATATAAAAATGCGGTGGTAGGCCTAGGCTAGCCTATACCAAGGACATAACTCCCTAATTTTTACCATCTCTGTTAAGTGTCCACTTCACATGCAATTTCATACTTTTCCTACCAGGTGTCAGTGTTTTTCCTCTTGAATGTAGTTTTTCATGGTTTTGAGGACATTTTTTTTTGCTCTAATTGGATTTGTTTTCCAGTAGATTTTATTAGCTCTTAGATAATGATACGTATATAATGTGATGTCAAATAGATGTATTTGGGCTTGACGGAGAAAACAGAGTTTGACAGTGCCATTTCGTATTGCTGAGGGAGCAGAGCTGAAGAAATAGGTGTCCAAAAGGCAATTAATGTGCCATATTGTCTTCTGCAGGAGAGAATAAATACTGGAAAATTATATCTTTGAGTCATCAGCTGTCCTTGCCCCCGTCCACACATGTTACACAGAAATTTTATAATTTCTCTGCGTGATTGCACTGTATATGTTTGGACCTTTCCATTTGTCCATTCCTTATTAAACGGACTCCTCTTCCTTAAGCCCTATGTCTCCTCAGCAGGCCAAACAACACACCCATGTGGACAGAGAGGCCTAATTCTCACTAAAGCAAAGCCAAAGTGTACAAAGACTACTGTTTAAAATGCTTAGTCAGTGCATTGTGACCTTGTTGGATTTAGGGAGATTCAAAGTTTGCACATACCTTTGCTCTGTCAGACCAACCAAAGGACTGCACTGTCACATCAAGACGTTTCAGCAACATTTTTCTTCTCACTTCATACTCATTTACAAGTGCTTGGTTTATAGCTTCAATTTTTTCCTGGTAAAATTGGAAAAAAGAAAAGACAATTTATTCAACAGTCATTCATTTATTCAGTTTTCCTCAATTACATTACATTTCTTCATTGAGTACGCTATGAGTGACTGTCAGTATTTACCATGTGTACAGGTCCAAGGGTCTTCTTCATCAGAGGGTCTCCTACGTGGTTTGGTGGGGCTCTAGTTATGGCTTCTTTCAGCTATGAAGAATGGACAACATGTGATGTGTATATTACGAGTGTATGAATGGACATTTAAAACTTGGACATCAAACAGCCAATATAAGACATTAAATAAACCACACAGACAAATGCAGAAATGTTAACAACATTTCTTCTCACACTGTGACTAAAATGACTTTATGTTTGGACTGAACCTGCACTCACTATTTTGTGCTTGTTTTGCATATTGTGATTATTATTATAACATGTTCATGCCCAAACATTTCAACCCAAACTAGGCATTTCCTGTGAATACAGAATATCCTGTGAAAAGGCATTCAGATCACTATGCAAATTATGATCAGCTGCCCCAGCCGTGGCTCGGAGCATCATCACTTATGGACATGCAGCCCCACAATGCTTAACACTAAGGACAATTTGGATTTTTTTAAAGCCAATTGAGTGTGCCAGTAAACCTGGAACTCCGTTAGCGCTTTTAGCACTTCCGGTTCTCTCGTCTAAAAGTGAATACGAATGGGATTTTGGTAAAATGCCTCAAATAAGGTCTGTGGTTAACAAAAGCTCAAGCGAGTTTCAGGTTTTGTTCTATGACATAAAACACGTCAGTAAATACCCTACTTGTGAATTCTGAAGCTTTTACGTGTCGTAAAAAAGGCGGTTGCTCAATACGACTACAAACCCTGTCGGAGACATTAAACATCATCACTCCCAACAGGCGAGAGTGCTGGCAGTCCGCCATTACAGCTTCTTATTTAGCTTAAACAGTCTGATTTCCCCATTATACAATGTTTTTTAAAATAAAGCAGCCGAAATCAGTTGAAAGCTTAGTGGCGGTGACGTTAAGAGTCATGCAATCGTGGAGTAGTCATGTAGTCCGTTAAAGCCTAACGTTAGCTTTTAACTTCTGGCGATCGCATTTAAGCTTCAAATGCGGTATGAAAGGTGTTCATATGTGAAGATTATCTAGCTGAACAAAACCTGTAAGTATCATAAACTTGTGTTAGCCACACAGCTTATTTTCTGACATAATCCAAAATGCAGTGCAAAAGTCACATTCACTTTCTCTTCCGGGAACCAGCGCGACGCTAAACTTCCAGGTTCTGACGTCAGCCCTGGCACACTCTATACCGTTATCCAATACTTAGCTACATCTCATGCCCAATTCTGATATGATGACTGACAATTTCACATTTTTGTATTGTAAAAAGAAGTTCAGAACCTGTTGTTTATGCTCAACTGAGTGTAAATTTTGATTTTCTAATTTTTGTTTTACAATTAAAAATGCATAAACTCTGATTTTATTGTAGAGCTGCACACAGCACATTGATTTGCTCAGCCCCTCTTTGATCTGCTCTCTCTTCCTCTCTGTATATCATGAGATTGGATAAAAGTAAGGACAGTAAAACTGAGGATAACTGATGTGACTGATGCCAGCGCCACACCAAGGCATGAGACTATGGAGCTAGAACAGTCTCAAAATGAAGAAATGCACACAAAAATTAATAAATGCACAAAAAAGTATTCACAAATGTATTTGGGTATATATATATATATATATATATATATACACTGAACAAAAATATAAACTTAACACTTTTGTTTTTGCTCCCATTTTTCATGAGCTGAACTCAAAGATCTAAAACACAAATCTGTCTAAAGCTGTGTAAGTGAGCACTTCTCCTTTGCTGAGAGAATCCATCCCACCTCACAGGTGTGGCATATCAAGATGCTGATTAGACAGCATGA